AACGAAGCTTCCACAGGTCGTTCGATGCACAGATTGCGTACCGTTGATGCCAATTTGAACCATGGAGTCCAACCAAAACCATCGATCGTCGTGTCGACACTGGATCGATCGAAATACCATCCGTCTGCTTGGACATTGAAGCGTACATGATCATCCTCGATCGTCATTGATATGAGAGGAAGCACTTTCACCATTTCAGTACCGACAGCCTCGATAAACTCGGAGAACGTGTAGTAACCGACAGGCAATGTCAACATGTGCGATTCCCTGCTGTCAGTAACAACCACGTGATTACACGAGGAAGACAGGTAGTAGCGCTTCGGATTATCCACTCCTTTCACCAAGATGTCCGATTCGAATCCAAGGATCGACCTGATCTCTGGTGCATTCGTGAAATCAATCATGTAGAAGTGATTCACCGTGATGTGGAACGCATTCTCACCGCTATACACCAATTCGAACAGGGCATCACTTGCATTCAGCTTTGCAATGATCGTTTCGATGTCGTATGCACCGCGTGGTATCGTGATCTCTTGAATCGTAGCGCCAGCATTGATTGGCACCACTTGATCAGTCGGCACATTGTGCAACACGAAGTCCGTATACAACGACACAGACGAGATGTAGTACTGGTCGAACGAGAGAGGATTGTCCAGCTTCACTTCCTTCTTCGTAGTATTGTCGAACACTTCGATCATGGAGAACTAATTCGCAGAGGTAATCGATGAAGGCACTTCATCATACACGTCATCAATCGTCAACTGGAGTTCGAATTTGCCGTTCAGTCGCATCGTCTTGCCATCCATATCGCGGAACACGAACATCAATTGATCAAACCGAGTGATCATTGGTATGCACACGTCTTCCACAGTTCGCACGTAGTCAGCCGTTGGATCGTCAATGATCATTGTGGTGAGCAGGTTGTTGTTCTGGTTGGCAATCTTCAAGTCCGATGATCGCACGATCGTCGAGTAGACCTGGATCACTTGGCGATTTCGAGTGATATCAATCACGTTCGATCCACTGAACGAAGCAGGTAGAATGACCGTTCGTCCATCCAAACCGAGGATCTCACGAATGTCAGGTGCATCTGTGAAATCAATGGTGTGTGGAGACTGAATCCAGATACAGCCGAACGACGAGGCGTTCGTCGATATGGAGAATGTAGTATCGGTCATGGTATTGAGCATGGCAATGATCTCACTGATCGTGTAATAACCAGCAGGGATCGTCACTTTCTCATCATTGCTGTTAGTAATCACATTCGTCGTGTCCACGTTGTTGAACATAGCCTGGGCATCCTTGGGTCGAAACAGGACAGTCATGGAAGTGATGTAAGGATTCTTGTACTTGTACGGATTAATCTAAGTGAATGAGCCATTGGTAGGTGAGCCTTGAATAAGCATGGAGTAGTGCATGGTCTTTCTCTCTTTACCATTATATAAAGGGCAGACAATTACCACATTGGTAGAAAAATGGGTTCACGCTTTTTGCGTCGTGGTCTCTGAGGTAGGCAATGGGCAGCAATGGTCTAAAAGGCAACCAGGTAGAAAATAGTCGAAAAAAATTTCGCGCTTTATGCGTCATTTCCCTACTACTACTACTACTACTACTACTACTTCGATTCTCTTCTGTCACAATGATCATCCATATTGAATACAAAGAATGATATTGCAGAGAAAGGAATGTGGTTCATAGATTGAAATGGTGAATAGGAATCATAGTATCATTAAACAAAACAATCGATTGAATAATATGATGGATGGAATGTGTGAATCCTATGAATGAAAACCTTGCTTTCTATTTGATCAACAAAACAATGTGAAATGCAATGTGATTAACATAGCAATAGTATTAAATAAACAAGTAATATTGAGTGAATGAATGAGTGAATGAATATGCCATCCATCATAGAGATCTCTTCCACTCACTTCCACTCCATCTTTCCATTCCACTTCGCGAGTAGCAATACGAGTTTCTTCATCGATCCAGTATCCTCGACCATTTCGAAGAAACGATTCTTTCGATTCATCATAAACGAATTCGCCCACATAGAGGGGAATTCGATTCGAAACTATGAATTTGTCTCCATTTCTTATCAACTCAATCATAATGGTTCCTTCAATTGTGAACGTTGTCCTCAAGTATGTAATTCTACCAGATTCCTTTGATCAGCGTTCTATCCGTTTTTTCTTATTATTGAATTACTATTTTTCTCATTCTCGCTTTTCATTGAATTCTCCCAGGTAATGCAACTTTCCAACACAATGAGAATCGATTTCTTCCGCTTTCCATTAACATGGTTTACAATCTGATTGAAGCTTCGTTTCGTCCGTTTTTCACATGACTCGTCATTTCAAGCAAATCCGTTTTGAAATCGAGTGAAATCTTGGATTGGAGTTGCCCTGTTTATTCTTTCAAAGGTTATCGTGTTTATTTTCATTTTGAAATATACAAAACCCAACCCATTCTTTGTTATTGTACTTTTGTTTTATATATCGGCCTTTATTGTAATGCAAGTGATGATTTTAACTACAAATGACAATAGTAAAAATAATAGTAATATTACTATTACTAATTACAGATTCAACAAGAGTATAATAGCCATCAACGGAGATATTTGCCTCCATTACTTACAGTGTTATGGCTTTCGTATTTGTGACTATTCATCCATTCATGATGTTTACTTGTAGAATCCTTAATTTATAATGAGGATAGTAAAGTCTATTATGTTCAACAAGCTTTCTGATCAAGATGGGTAGGTTTAGTTGTTCAATTCAATCTATTCTGGACTTTATACTAACACGAAGTTATAATAATACGAATAATATCTGTCTTTGAATCAATTGTCATTCTTATTCCATTTATTCCAATAGAATGCATGTATGAATGAATGAATGAATGAATGATGAAATCCCTGATCCTTTGTATTGCCTGTTGTAAAATCCTAATTCTAAGTAACTATGGCTTCTATCATTCATATACACACTGTGACTCAAATTATAGTGTTGTTTCAATCCCTGTTGAGAAGCAGTGGAATTGGCCAGAGTAGTAGCATTAGTAGTGATACTGTAAAAATCCTTCCTTACAGATTCATTCCGATTCCACAGGCTTCTCGATCAATAGAACCAAGTTTTTCTATCACATTGAAACAAATTTGAACACGAATAACCAAGCCAAACTATATAGATTACTGACCTAAAGATTCTGGAGCATTATTACACTCCAATAACTCATTGCTCGCTAATCACGAAACATTTCTAATGTAATTAAAATATACTCATAAGTTTCAAATGAAGGGTGTTATGAGGGTTCGTAATTGATGGACAATCATTCCCATGAATACGATGAAACCTGAAGAATATAGATTGTAGATTATATCGATAGATTGAGTAATAGAATAGATTGAACCAAAAAATCTATATAAATTGGGACGACTACTGAACAAATAGCAACGCTTATTTTTTGCAAAAGAACTATTTTCCTATCAATGAATCATTCCATGGCCTTAATTGCTTGTGTGCTTGATGATAGAATGGTATGTAAAAAACAATGCACTTTACATATATCGGCGATTCTTTTGGTTTCTATATCTGGATTGATATCGCTTCTCTCCGCGTTGACGCACAGGGAAGGACTTCTCCACCATTCCGAACTTTTTCTGTCGCTCAGCACGCAGTTCTTCTGAGACAGAGTTCATTCCCTGTCCAGAACGGCCTTGTCTTCGACCCAGTGATTGATTGCTTTCCACTATTCCGAACTTGGCTCGACGTTCTGAAAGTAGTTTCGCACGCTACGTGTCAATTTTGTGGAGTAATCCAACGTTATTGTTATTGTCATTATTATCACTATTGTGGGTAGATCCAACTTGTGCAGTGGAATAAATTCGAAGCAGTTGCTGGCGACACGATTCACGATCGAAAGAAGTCCCGAATTTCTTGCTGCGAGCCTCTCGCTTGTCCAGCTCGGCCTCGATGTCCAATGACTCAGCCCTATCTGGGGAAACTTCAGAACCATTGATTGGAGCTTTACCACCTTCGATCGCTTCAGGACCTTCACCACCAACCGCAGAAGTGCACGTAGCCTCTGTGTTTTCGATAGATTGCATTTCATTATATCCACTCTCTGCTGCTGACCGAACTGGAGACGAAAGTCCATCCACTACCTCGGTTTGAGTCGTATCATTTTCCT